TCATAATAAGATTCCTGGCTACTAGACAACACATCTCCGTGGATCCATGATGTTTTAGACTCCTTTGTTGACATTGACTATTGCCAGAAGAGAAGTCGGCAACACCTCTGTGGGGCTAAACCTATGACAGAGATTTTTGGATCCACCGATACTTATGTATGCTTAGGACTGAAGACTTTAGAAGAATCAAAATTATTCTGACAAGAACGACAATTCTAGAGTGCTGTGTCCTGACATTGACAAATCTGCCTATACCAACAGCTTCCTCTATGGAAAATGATCCTTAGGACTAATGCCCACAGTTTTAGGACAGTGTCTACAGTGCTAAATTTTAGAAACATGACAGTGGTGTTGGTCCTACATGAGCAGATTTAAACTAAAACTAACTTTGCTAGTTCTTCCAATGTTATGCTTAGCCTCACAATATTCTGCTTTTTGTGAAGCCTGAATTTGTTTTATGTGATTATTATAGTGTTTGAATAAAAACCCCAACATTCAGCCTTTTGAGTCGCAGAAGAAAAAAACCTTAAATTATCAATCAAAAAAGTTTAAAACCCATAGATAAGTACAAAGTATTCCCTTTTTTACTCTAGGCCAAAACTGGGAAATAGTCTCCTAAAGGCTGTTCTGCAAGTGTGTATGTGGCAGTAGGAAATCAAATTATCTTTGAAAGACTGACAAGGGCCTCTGTCCAAAATTGTGAAGTGAAAGCTGAGGACAGAACTGCTTTATGGAAACATGAACAAAGGCACTGAGCGGCCTCAGAATAAATTGGATATACTTCTCCAATATGCAGAAATCTTGTGGCTACTCTAACCTAATCCTGCAATACTGTTCCAATGTTGTTTCACCGGAAGTATGAAAATAGGGGAAAACAATTAGCAATGAAGGTTTAATAATACTTATTTTCAGCTGGGAGCAGCATCAGCCTGATAAAGATAACACAGGTAAAATGACAACCCACCGATAACCTTCTTTTTAATTGCTCTTTTGCCTTACCTAAATCTCTTCTGAAAGAACAAAAACCTGTGGAAAATTAGAAAAATATGAAAGATTAAGAGTGGGAAACAAATCAGTCTTATAATCTGCATCTTGTTCCTTGTTATCTTAGGCAGATCACTGGTATAAAAAGGTTTCAGTGAGCTTCTCAGTTTAACCACCTATCTTTTTGAGTGATTCTATTAAGCAGTGTGCCCACAAAATTATACTTCTACAACTGGTGCTTTTCCCTTCCATCTTAAAAGAGAACCAACCACGCTTATCCCAAACCAATTGTAAATTATATTATTCTTATGGGGAGGCCAAATGATCTAGAATACATAAACACCAGTGGGCTGCATTCCTCAACTCCCACTAGTAATTGCGTTGGCAGCTTTAGCTACCTATGTTTCAATATAATGGGAATAGAAATAATTTAGAAAAACTCAAATCCTTTATTTTGTCAAGTATATGTGGATCTACCTGTTTTGAAAATTGCTTCAGCTGTTGGTGCCTGGGCACAATTCTGCCTCCTTTTTCTCAGTCGTGATTTCTTTATTATGACCAAAGTCATGTAAAGCATAAATGATTTCTTTGTTGTCCTGTAAGCCTTCCATTCACCTGATGGATCATTATTTAGTCTAGAAATCAGTTGTACTCTAAATGTTCCCTCAAATGACTACCACATTGTTCTTACAGGTATTCTTTGGGGCTGGTCTCATAAATCAGAGGGGTATGACCTAGATTTATGCAGTGAAGAGCGACTAGGATTTTTTAAATGTGACTACAGACAGCCCTCACAATTTCACACAGAAAGAAACAACTAAAACTTGACACACAGATGGCAGCGGTGCTAGGCCATGATATCCTAATCCTAAAACAAATAAATCCTGTACTGGTCCTGGAGATTTGTGAACTCTAAAAACTTGTGGATGTTTGGAATATTCATGGGATTACAATGTTTTCCATCATTCTGAGTCCAGTCAGCATTTAAAGGTTGGTGTGGGTTCAGACCTCAGCCTGAATACCTTGAGAGGTATTCTCTAGCAGGCTGAGAAGCCACTGCCCTTCTGCAATGGAACACCTTTGTGCAAGCACTACATTTTTTGACTTTGTGGTCTTCCCTTCCCACACACATGTTGTCATTCCAGAGATGGATTGTCTTATTCAGGAACCTGTTATTCCAAAGTGTGTCTACACTGACATTTTATTTTAGATGAAGAATGTCCTTCTGAAACAAATCTCCTGATTGTCACACAGGTTTTTTTCACCAAAAAACATCCAGGAATGCATGACTGGATTCCTTTAGAATAAAACTAAACCAGGAGAAGCACTCTGTGAGTCAACCTACTTTACTTGAGCTACTGATGGCCATTCACATCAGAGGATCATAATAGACCCGATCTGAAATTCAGCTGCCTCAAACAGATATAGCTTGGATGCCAGACCTTCAGCACCATTTCACTGTATTGATTGTTCCTATCACGTTGTATTCTCTGCTAGTATAGACATAAGTAGGGACAATTACTATAACAAAGAAAATTCCCAAAGTGAGATAATTACAGAAATGTTGAGATTAGCTTTGCTGTCACTCTTGAGTACATGTGGGGTTTTTTTTTGTCTGGAGGACTCAGGACAGGGAGAACTGGGAAACTATAAACCATGAATTCAGAAGAAAGCAGAAACAACAGCGAGTGCTGAAATTTTTGGATCTTGCATCTTCTTTTCTACATAATGTCATGTTGACCACAAAACCACAGAAGGACTGTGTGCCAAGGAAAGCACAGTCAGTAGCACCATTTGTGGAGATCCCCTGGGGAAAGGGTTACATAAAATTTTAACAGGTTAAGGTTCAGTAGCAAGACCCACAAATTACTCAGTTATAAATAGGTTCAAAACCTCTTTATTTTCTGTAACTGCAGCTCCTCTGCAATTTTCTTACAGAGGATGTTTATGAAATTCCTAGGAGAAAAGAACTTTATTTCTCTATGAGAATGTATTCACTGTGCTAGAAGCCTGAACCCTTTATAAAATTCCTCCTTCCTAAAAGAAAGTATTTTTGACTTGAACTCCCAGAAAAGCATTTTGAACTCCTAGAATCAAATGGTAAGAAACTCTTTCATTCTTTCTTGAAGCTTCCTGGGGACAGGAGCAGTCCTTTTTGGAGTCCTCATTTCCCTGAATGTGTGCTATTCTGTACCTTAAAAATTCCCTGGCAGATCCTTCAAGTAAGATGAAACATTTCCTAATGTTATACATTCAAGAGACTTTTGCTCATGATAGTACTGCAATACTAACTGCTGCAGAAAGGAAACAATAATCTGCATTTCCATTAAGTGGGCAAGATACTCTTACCAATTTAAGCCATAAATCCAATTGAATGTCTGAGTTTTAAATGGAATTCTTCACAAAAAGTCTTTCCGGTTTACAGGTGGTAAATAATACAATACTGCCGACTGTCTCTTTGTTCTCAATAGTGCTACAATTCTCCAAGGGACTTTTAACCCTAAACTTTCTAAGTCAAAATCCAGTTGACTAACACATTGGGGAACATGGATTTCTTTGCCTTTTCTTCAGTTCCTTGTCTGACTCTGGCTTGAGTATTTCTGGCATCCGCAGATACCCCTTTCTAGGTTTTGTCTTTGATCCTATTTAAGAATTTAATTCCTGTAAAAGTAGCAAGGCTCATGCAGGGCATTTTTACTTCTTAACCTAAACACTAAGAAAAAATACTAGAAATGCCCTGCTGGTCCTGTAATTAGTTGTGCAACTGATAAAAGTCTGAAACTCAGCTCAAGAAGTATTGTGTCTGTTCTTAATAGCTACATGAAAGAAAATATTATCCCAAGTCTAAATAAATGGTAGTAGGAGGGTAGTTTGGTTTATCAAGTGCTGTAAACAAACTGACCCACTGTCCTTCACTAAGTTTTGTTTCAATGCCATTTCAAGCAACCACCTTCCAGCTGAGCAGATTAACAGTTTACAGTTGTAACTGCTTTTAGCCCTCTGAAATTAATAAAAACTCTCCAAATACGGAGATTAATTATCAGAAAACTAATATTACACTATCTATCCAAAATACTTAAGGTTTTATTTTCTTTGAGCTGTCTTGAAATTAAAATAGAGCATACACAACAGGCTGCTGATTTATTTGCTGTGATGTCTTGTTGTCAAACTTTTTCCTCTATAATCATATTACTTAAAGTATTTATGAAGGCTCAGTTTTTTCCTCCTTTATGCAAAGTGCCAGACTGATGAAAGCTTCCGAATTATTTTTCAGCATGAAAAATTAAAGATATAAGACTAATTGTAAAAATTAATTGCATAAGGCCACTTAAATGGCAAGAGACCATCATTTGCATAGAGTTTGTTTCAAACTCTACAAACTTTCCACTTAAATTCCTTTTTTAAAAGTTATTTGTAACAAAAAAATGAAGAAATAGACTAGCCAAAGTTTTACATGCTCACATTCTTAATGATATATTTCAATCATCATTTATTCAGCAACAAACCGGACTGTCATGGCAGATGAATCAACAGGAGGTTTAATGCAATTCAGACACTGGAATATAAATAATGTCATTAGCATTTCTATGCATAAGCAAATAAGCTACTCTTCATAAAAATGTATTTCCTGTATTTCACAAGGCATTTCTGGACAGATCTATGTATCTGCCCTCTACACATAAAAATTATATCATACTGAATGAGGTTTTGTCACTTATAAATATAGCAGAGATCTGTATTGACCATTGTTGACCTGGTTACAGATGCATCTAGTTTAAAACCCACAAATAAGTTACATATATTAAAAGGTACACTCATCATGAACATGGTCTGTACAGCTGGCACTGAAATAGATTTATGCAGGAAATTATTCAAATGTCAGATCCCAGGATCAGTGTCGTGTAGTGCTTGTCCACTGAAGAAATAATGGCATCCAAGGTGTGTTTCCTCAAAAATTATTATCATAATTCTAAAAAAAAAATATATATATTCAAAAAAGAAAACCTTTTTCCTAGGTACAGTCCCAACAAAATCACCTGAGCCTTCAAAAACTGAAAAATCAACCGAACCAGCTAAGAAAATTCAACAAGAACAGCATTTGATCAGTGATGGGAAAGAAGATGCTAAGTGAGTAAATTCAATTTTAAAGATTGAGGCTTTTTCCCTGATATCCTGATTTAACATTTCTGTATGCCATATTTCAGTACTTTAAAAGTCCATTCTGTCCTGTAAGGCTCTGATCTTTTTAATATCTTTATTGATGATCTAGACGAGGGGATCGAGTGCACCCTCAGTCAGTTTGCAGATGACACCCAGTTGGGTGGGAGTGTTGATCTGCTCGAGGGTAGGGAGGCTCTGCAGAGAGACCTGGACAGGCTGGAGCCATGGGCTGAGGCCAACTGGAGGAGTTTCAATGAGGCCAAATGCCGGGGGCTGCCCTTGGGCCACAACAACCCCCAGCAGCCCTACAGGCTTGGGGAGGAGTGGCTGGAGAGCTGCCAGTCAGAGAGGGACCTGGGGTGGGGGGGTGATTGACAGCCGGCTGAACAGGAGCCAGCAGTGTGCCCAGGGGGCCAAGAAGGCCAATGGCATCCTGGCTTGTGTCAGCAATAGCGTGGCCAGCAGGGACAGGGAAGGGATCTGACACTGGGGAGGCTGCACCTCGATTCCTGTGTTCAATTTTGGGCCCCTCACTACAAAAAGGACATTGAATGACTCGAGCGTGTTCAGAGAAGGGCAACGGAGCTGGTGCAGGGTCTGGAGCACAGGTCGTACGGGGAGCGGCTGAGGGAACTGGGGGTGTTTAGTCTGGAGAAGAGGAGGCTGAGGGGAGACCTCATCGCCCTCTACAGCTCCCTGAAAGGAGGTTGCAGAGAGCTGGGGATGAGCCTCTTTAACCGAGTAATAAGTGATAGGACAAGAGTTGTTGTGTACATCATCTTAAATTGTAAGAATGAGGAAAAGGATTTGCTCAACTACAGTTATATACTAACTCTAACAATGCTGTTGCTCAGTTACTATTACTCCACCTTATCAAAGGAGTAAGGCCCAAGATGCTGTCCTGAATAGCTGGAATGTTTGTCACATCATTTTAATGTAAATACTTTTTGCCCTGCACATTTTTTTCTGAGTTATACAACTAAATCAGCATTAGTCTGCACAATCAGAGGAGTAGGACTGTCTTTTCCTGAGAATAAATTAAACAATAATATTCCTTCAGGGGAAAATATAGAGTCGTTCAGCCTTTTGAAAAAGCTTAGGTGACTGTTTTGCTAAAACAGTATCAAACATGAAGTCTAGAAAACAATAATCTTGGAAGAGTCTACATTAATTACAGAAGCATATTTTCATAGAATTATAGAATCATAGAATGGTTTAGGTTGGAAGGACCTTTAAAGCTTATCTCATGCAATCCCTTTGTCCTGGGCAGGGGCATCACAACTAGATCAGGTTGCTCAAAGCCCATCCAATCTGACCTTGAATGTTTCCAGGAATGGGACATCTACAACTTCTCCATGAAACCTGTTCCAGTGTATCACCACCCTCACAGTAAATATATTGTATATATCTAGGCCAACTCTACCCTCTTTTATTTTAAAACCAGTACCCCTTATCCTATTGCTACAGGCCCCATTAAAAAGTCTGTCCCCTTCTGTCTCATAAGCCCCCCTTAAGTATTGAAGGGCTCCAAAAGGCTTTCTCCAGAGTCTTCTCTTCTCCAGGCTGAACAACCCCAACTCTCTCAGCCTTTCTTCATAGGAGAGATGTTCCATCCCTCCAGTCGTTTTTGTGTCCCTTCTCTGGACCCACTCTGACAGGTTCATGTATTTCCTGTGCTGAGCACTCCAGAGCTGGACACATATTACTCCAGGTGGGGTCTAACCAGAGAGGAGTAGAGGGGCAGAATCACCTCCCTTGACCTGCTGGCCATGTTTGTTTTGATGCAGCCCAAGATGTGGTTGGTTTTCTGAGCTATGAGCACACATTGCCAGCTCATATCCATCTTTTCATCCACCAGTACCCCCAAGTCCTTCTCAGCAGGGCTGCTCTCAATCCTTTCATCCCCCAACCTGTATGATATCAAGGGTTACCCCAGTCCAGGTGCAGGACCTTGCGCTTGGCCTTGTTGAACCACATGAAGTTCACGTGGGCCACTTCTCTAGCTTGTCCATGTCTATATGGCATCCAATCCCTCAGGCATGTCAACTGCATCACACAGCTGTGTCATCTGCAAACTTGCTGGGAGTGCACTCGATCCCACGGTCTATGTCACTGATGAAGATATTAAACAGCATCATAGAAGAAATTCATAGAGCAAATTTACAGGTTAGACCCAACTCCCAGGTTAGATCAGGTTGCCCAAAACTTTGTTCAATATAAATGTGAAGGTATATCTTGAAGAATGAAGCTTCCACAGTTTCTCTGGGCAATCTGGTCCACCACTTCACCATCCTTATTATGCAAATTATTACCTTACATATAATTAAATTTTCCTTTGCTCTAATTTGTTTCTGTTGTTTCTCATACTTTTGCTGTGCATCTCCAAGAACAGTCTGGATCCATGTTCTCTTTAACCACTCACTGGGTAGTGAAACACTGCAATTACCTCCATTTGCTCAACTTTTCATCTCCAGTTTGAACAAACCCATCTTTCTCAGCATCTCCTCATATACCCTGTGCTCGAGTCCCCAGTCTGTCTTAATAGCCTTCTGCTAGTGTTGCATCGTGGTCAGTGCCTTTCATGTACAGGGTAGACTACAGCTGAATGCAGATGCAATCTCATAAATCTCACATAAAAGAAAATAACTACTCCCCCTCAATCAGCCATCTATGCTTTTTTCTAAAGCATAGCATCTATTTAGCCTTCAGTGCTGCAAGAACACACTACGACTTCATATTCAATTTGTCATCCACCAGGACCCCCAGATCCTTTTATGTAAAGCTGTTTTTTAGTCAGTCAGATTCAAGCCTTTACTCTTGCATGGGGTTATTCCATTCCAGGCATGGAAACTTGCATTTATCTGTGTTAAGCGTCATGGAGTTCCTGCCCCCCAGTATGTTGAGATCCCTTTGAGTGGAAAATAATGGACATAGTCCAGAACAGGGTAGATACTCCTCCTGCTCGCTTTTGCCTTCTATTATTTTGATTGTCCTGATGATGCAAAGCAAAAGTCTTTCCCTGACATACAGTTACTTAATTTCTAGACATTCTCTATTTCCTCTCCTTCACCAAGACAGACTTTGTACTGCACTGATAAATAATCAAGTGAAATACTGATGTATGTGCTTCTATAAAATAATACATGCAATTAAAAATAACTCTGACTAGAATGACTGGAAATGTTATAAATAACTTGGTAATTTGCATGTGAATCAGTAGGTCAACAATGAAAACCTAGATAAAGCATCTCCTTTTGTGTCATTGTAGGATATGTTATTAGATGCTTACAGTTCCACTGGTAAACCCCATAATCATGGTTAACATAATTACAATATCTTTATGAAACAAACGGGTATGTTGCTTATTTGTAGAAGACAATCTGTTAAAAGGAAATTAAAAATGTTTATGTTAAACATTTTCTTCTCAAAGTTGTTCTGACTCACTGTCATGTGTACATCCAGACATATCTAGTCAGTCTAATTTGAGCAACAGCTTCTAAAAATACAATAAATCTTTGGTGAATTCTACTGTCAAAGCAGTTAGTTACCCACTTAATTCTGCAGTAGAGCTTGGAAGGCATGGCACTGGTGTCATTGCATTGCTATGAAACTAAACTAAACAGATCTATTATACAAATTTCAAAGCTGGAGGGAGAATAATTTTTAAAATGTGCCTTTGAGAGAATTTAATTCACGGTCCCTAAAGATTCACAGGAGTATATTTAGACACCGTTCTTGATCAAGGTCACTACCTTATTGAGTCTCTGTGTTCAAATTTACTCACTAGAATATTTTTAAGAAATCAACTGCCTTTGTCACATGAGAAAATATACATAAATGTGTATGCATAAGGAGATTTTGAGTCAAACAAATACATGTAGCTTACAAAAATAGCAGTAAATGAAACATGCTCAAATGACCCTCTAGCACTGAGGTCAATTAGAAGAATACAAAATGTTTCCTGAAAAAGTGTCAGTTGTGAATTATTTTTGCTTAATGTTAATTTCTGGGTGTTCTCATACCTGGGAATTATTTGGAAAAGTGATAGTTTGACTAGTCAAAACCATACCAAGAACAGTTTGTACAACTCAACAGGATAGTTAACTGAGTGTCCTATTGTCCAGGAATTTTCCCTGTCACTGTTTAATTTACATTTAGATAATGTCCAAGTGGTGATTAGTAGCAAGTGGTGTCCCTCAGGGGTTTCTATTGGGAGCAATACTATTTAATATCTTTATTAATGACACAGACAATGGGATTGAGTGCACCCTCAGAAAGCTTGCAGACAACACCAAATTGAGGGTGCAGTTGATTCACTGGAGGGCAGGGATGTCATCCAGAGAGACCTTGACAGGTATATTAGAAATAGCATGACCAGCAGATGTAGGGAGGTGATAGTCCCCCTGTACTCTGCACTGGTGAGGCCACACCTGGAGTATTGTGTCCAGTTTTGGGCACCTCAATATGAGAGAGATATCTAGGTGCTGGACCAAGTGAAGAGGGGAGCAACGAAGATGGTGAAGGTCCTGGAGAATAAATCCTATGAGGAGCAATTGAAGGAGCTGGGACTGTTCAGTTTGAAGAAGTAAAGGCTGAGGGGAGACCTCATCACTTTCTACAACTACCTGTAAAGACATTGTAGAGAGGTTGGTGCTGATGTCTTTTCACAGTAATTAGCAATAGAACAAGAGGGAATGGTTTTAAACTGCAGCAGGGGAGGTTCAGACTGGACATTAGGAAAAAAATTTTCGCAGAAAGAGTGGTCAGACAGTGGAATAGGCTGCGCAGGGAGGTGGTGGAGTCACCATCCCTGGATGTGTTTAAGGGTCGTTTAGATGAGATGTTGGGGGATATGGTGTAGGGGAGAACTTTGTAGAGTAGGACTGATGGTCGGACCTGATGATCCCAAAGGTCTTTTGCAACCTCAATGATTCTGTGATTCTGTGACAGGCTTGAGGAGTGGGCCT